GCTATAACCCTGGTCCTTGATTACCATATATTTTTGAGGTGATCTTTTGGACAAGGTTAGTAAACAAATAATTTGAGCATGTTTCAGCTTTAGTAATTATAAATTATGAATTATATAAATCCACAAGGAAGCCTTTTCTTGGTTTCTGGAAAAGTAGGTGATTAGTCCTTTCCCTAAAAGCTTTTCTTCGATAAACATGGGGCGTCTGCAATTATAGAGACTTGAGGGAAGAAAAAGGGTTAATGATGCCTTATTTGTTTCACTATATTTTCAGAGCAAAAACATTTCATTTCAAGAATTTATTTGTGATAGTAACAACAAAGTAACATTTTTGAAGCACTGAAAATTTCTGGGTGTTTAAAAGAATTGGATGTTTTAAATAATCCTTAAAATGTGAAGTTATCATCGGTATCATTCATTGCAGTTTCTGGATTCAAAATAACCTGTTTACTATCCATCAAAAGTGTAAAAAGTGAACCAATCTCTATATTATCCTTTTCCTACATCCCATGCAAAGAGAGGTCCCATAAATAGCACAATTTGTGGTTGATGATAAGCTTCCTCCCGAGAAAAAATAATAGTTTGTGTTTGTGCCAGATGCTTTTCCTGCATTAAGTGCCATAAAAATCCCCTGAAGTGTGTTCAACAGATAGGGCGAAATGCCAGAGGATGACAGAGAATTAAGTTGAACCCTGTTCACACACAAAACCCATTGAGACACCATATGCATATTTCCATTTAAAAGTCAGAATGTGAAATTAATTCAATGTGCATTTAATAGGCAACTAGTTAGAAATGTATATTAGAGTCCAGGGACAGAATGATGAGTGTTATCAGGTCCTCCTCTCTCCATGGTGAGATTTGCTTTCTATCAGCAAAAAGAGATATTTAACTCTTTTATAACAGTGGCCTTAAGTTCTCTAAGACATTTAAGAAGAGAGGAAGTACCACATGATAAAAAGTCCTCCAGGCAGAAGAAACTAGTACTATAAGGTCTTGACAATAATTTCTTTTTGTGGCATTTTCCTTAAGACAATAAAATGGAGGGTTACTGCTTATTTATTTACAGAGCAGGTTATTGATCCTGCTAGAGAACAGACTACATGATTGGTGAGGCAGGTGGACTGGCATGTGTCTAAAGGACAAAGCTAGGAATTAATTATAAGAAGCAGACATGTCATTCCAGTCTAGGATATAAACATTTTTCTCTGCTACTGATACCAGTGTGTATGACAACTTTACCCTCAGACACAATTAGATTCAACATTTGTAATTCTCCCTAGACTTTACAAATGGTATGTGACTGTCAGACCTGAGTGACGTGCTAAGCTGTGCGTATTATGAAGGGATTTTTTGCACTGGTTGAGTAGTTCAACAAAGTGGTTTTCTGTTTTTTCTGTTTCGTGCAAGCCTAAAGATATAATTATATTGCTAGAGTTATGGCTCATATGAAGTTTCTGGCATAAAGTCCAAAAAGACTGAGCAAATTTAGCCAGTCAGTGTAACTTCTACATGGACTAGGCTGTAGGTGGCAGATACCAGCGTGTGTACCCTGTCACTAAGTCAGGGCTTCACCACTAGTGTTCAAGGAATGGCTGTGTGGGTGATCATAAAGGAAAGAAATGGTTTAATTCATAACAGAAACAAGATGAGAACTCCCTGACTTTGTTGCTCAAGTAAGAACTTTTTACTTTATTAATCATGTAAGAAACTCGAAAACATTACATAAGTTAGTGAATTACAAAGTACATACATGAGAATCTTTGCAAAAATAAGTGGGCCCATCTAGGTGATTTTTCCCAATGCTTAATGACAAAGTATTATCTTCGTTCATAAAACTTAGAGTTACCTAATGCATATGCGAAATGTGAAATGTGTCTACCTTTATTTTATGTTTACTTAGAAACTTTTTTTCTCCAGAAGTAATGGTAATATATATAACAATCACTCTTCTGTTATTAATCTTCTCACTATTCATTTCTGTATTGACAAGCACAGAAGACAGAAACACATTTAAAGTAAAGCATTAATCACCTGAGCAAACTGAGTATCCTTAGTGTAATCACTTTTATTTTTACTTTGCAGCACAATGCAAGTACATTTTTGTTTTTATTCTTAACAAAGTCTGCTACATATATTTTAACTAGACAACCACAAAATGAAAGAAATTATTGAATATTCTACATGGATCATTTAATTAAGAAATAAAATAACTATCATATGTTTTCCTCTGCTATATGAAAATTTGCATTCACAGGATAAGGAAAATTTAGAACATTGAAATATTCTATCATTAAATTTTTTCTTTGTGCATTTTATAAAACAGTATCAGAAAAAGGACTCTTGGCTTACTGGTGTTTGTCTGCTGTCCAATGGCTTCACTCCCTAAGAGACAAAAGTACATAATGGAACCATGGCAGACTAACATTAAAATCATTTTGTGGTAAATAAATCAGTGGATGTGATACTTCTTGGTTATAGTCAAGTTTCTTAAGTTGTAACACAGGGCTTATTTTCTGCTTGCTGGTTTTTTTTTTTTTAAATTAAGCTTTAGTTATATAGGAAAGATGAATTCTCTTTCCATCCTCTTAAGTTTTGATAATGATTTAAGTCCTGAATGAATTGGCAGTGGACTGACTCTATAGAAAAGGCATACAAATTTGATGTATGCATATGCATGACAGCTATACAAAATATGAGAACATAGAAAGTGCCACTAGGTTGAAGTTTAGGTAGCCTCCTCAGAGAAAGGAATAAGGCCAGGGGGTTTCTTGAAGGAACTGGGCAATGTTATGGATGAGTAAGAGGAACAGATGGGAAACAAAGATTGCCCTACCATTGTGACAAGCTTTCTCCATCTCAGTCTATTCAGAAGAACAGGTGAAGTTACTCCAGGTTTGAACCTCTCTAGTGCTAGGCATCACTGTTAGTCTCTTTTCTGTGAGAAGAGTTAACCCTGGGTTGATGAGACTCTGGGGGGAATTGTAACAATTCTCTTATGCTGTAGGAACTGCCTGGTAATCATGTAAGGGAAATGGGAGAAAGGCCCTCCTTGTGCTTTGAGTAAGAAGGAAAGACAAAAGCCAAGATGTAAGAGGTTCTAGACTTTTGTTCTAATGCTGCCTCTGTAATGTAAAGTATTCAGCATTTCAATATACCATGTTTTGAGGTATTGCTTTTTGAGCTCCAAAGGTTGCCTATTCTAGAAGTGACCATTTTTGGCGAAAATGATAACTTTGAAAGTTTAATATGCTCCAGAATCACCTGAACAGCTCACAGAACACTTGTTTCTGAGTCTCATCCCCATAGTTTCTGAATCAGAAAATCTGGAATTGTCATTGAACATTTGTATTTTAACAAAGTCAAAAAATATGGCTAAATGATTTGATTTACTGAAAAGGAGAATGAGGCAAGAACAAAAAAGTTACACAGCTCTGTACATCCATGTTACTTTCTTCCATAGAATCAAACTGATCCAATCACTGATTTCTCGATTAAGTATAGCCTGTCTGAATTTCCTACGATGGCTCATACTATGTCTTTTGGTGTTGTGTGTTGTTGGAAAACTTGTAACTGATGCATGTGTGTGCTTTCTGTTCAAACTTTTTAAATATATAATTTCTTTGTCCAGTGCTCTTTCAATAAGGGTACCTTGTCCTTTGAGGATGTCTTGCCAGAATGATGCAAATGAGGGTACAGACTATTTATTTACTAGAAGATACTATACTACCACAGCCTACTTACTGCAATTGCTATAATGAAGAACAGAGGGTGATTATTTTCTTTTTTGAAAAATGAAACAACTTTAATAAGCAATTGCAAGTAATGGGTAATCTAACAGAAACAGTTCTTTTTTGAGATTTATTTCCTGTGAGGTGATGTTTTTAAAAGGTTTTGACCTGAAAAACCTTCTGATCTTAGACTTTCCCTGTGTCACCCCATTGTACCACATTATGCTGCAAAAAATTTTTTTCTGAATAAACATCTATTAGTACATATATCTTTAAAGATTATTTTATATACCGATTAATGTGTCTCTCTAGTACATACCCTCAGAATGTTATGAAAACATGAATTTTTGAAATATATATCAGTTTTTTAAAAAAATCTTGTAAGGGGACTGGGGATTTAGCTCAGCGGCATAAGCACCTGCCTTGCAAGCAGGCGGTCGTGAGTTCTATCCCAGGTACTGATAAAAATGAAAAAGACAAAAAACAAACAAACAAACAAACAAACAAAAAAACCAAATCTCGTAAGACAAAAAGATTTGCACTTGCTCCATTAGTTAGCTGAAGGATCCTGGAGCCTCCTGACCCTGGACTGTGACATGAAGGAGCTGTGTGTTGAAGGAGTGATGTTACCTTGACTTTCTCAGGGTATACTTGGTAGACAGGAAGGAGAAAAAAAGAATCAGAATCGCCCAGCCTCTGTGCCACTCCATTTGGACTCAGGCATTGCATTTGTTTGGAGCTCTCAGTTCCAGTGTCGGTCCCCAGGGGGCTCACTTCTCTTGTTACCTGTGAACTTCGCTTGTAGACGCCTGTTGAGGTCTGTATTAATAAAGCACACTGTAGAAAGGGGAGACACTTTTCCTGAAGGAAAAAAAAAAAAAAAAAAAAAAATTGGAGAAACTCTTTTCTATGGCTCTTGTTAATGTTTGCCAGCCCAGCATCTTCAGTGGCAGAACTAAGGCAATGCTGGTGTAAATTCTTACGATTTTTCCCCCTACTCCACCAAAAATAAATGTTGATGTGTTAGTATTCAACCACGTTTCCCTTAAGAAGCAGGGTGGAATATTTCTTCCTTTTGTCCAAATGTTTTAGAACTCGATCCCCATTGTCTTCCAGCATCATTCTAAATAGAATCTTACTGTTTGGCCAGAGCCAGAATTAGCTTGAATGGTACCTGTTATTGAAAGGGAGTCTGTATTTGCAGTAATACAGAAAATGCCAGTTTAGAAATGAGCCTGATTGCATGGTTCATTTTGTTCTCCTTTGTAGAGCCAGGCTGCGGCCCACTACAAAGGCACGAAACATGCCAAGAAGCTCAAAGCACTGGAAGCCATGAAAAATAAGCAGAAATCTGTAACTGCCAAGGACAGCGCAAAGACTGCCTTCACCTCCATCACTACCAATACCATCAATACCAGCTCTGACAAAACAGGTTAAGCTATGATCTTTGTTGTTGTTTTCCGCATGGTTGTTGTTTGGGAGTTCCCTCTCTTGTCTAATTCCATGTCTGTTTAATTATGTGTCTGCCACATTGATTCATGCTTGAGCCATCTTTCTATATAATGATAATTGTTTCCTCTCATTTTTCCGGTATCTTGAAAATAATCCCCAGTTATATTCCCAATTTTGCATTTTGAAAGAGTCCTATGGCTCTTCAGAGGAACACAGTAGTAATCATGCCTGGAAAGCCAAGTATTCTATAATCCTTTCTGAGAAGTGAACCTCTTCAATGTGTATTTTTAGCATCTTGTGCACAATACCTTAGCTTATAACTGCATAGAAGATTTGATTTTACTGTTGGTGCACAGCACAGTAGGCCAACTGAATCAAGAAGACCCAGGAAGAGCATTATTACTGGCAGATTTTATTCTCATAAATTCCAAACTACCTAGTGGCTATGTGATTCTGGGTTCATTATGTCTGAGTAACCTTCCCTCTGCATAAAAAGGTAAGTATTATTGATACTAATTAATCTTTTTAACAGTCTTCGTACTGAAATAATGGCGTCTAATTGGCCTCTTGAGACAGCTTGTGCAAACAACCAGCTTATTATTAGTCAGTGGGGTTTTCCTATGTTGGCATTTTAAATTACAAAAACCACTGGCCCTCAGATTTTACTTTTGGATTCTACTTAATGGAAGTTTTATGCAATTTGTGGGTATATCTTTAATAAATAAAGATTCTGGATAAGAAAGAGCTAGTATAGGTTGATTGATTTCCAGTTTACACAAATGATAATTGTTAGGAAAAGAAAAAATTCCACCCCACTCATGGCAATGTCTTAGCTAGAAAAGAATCTTCGAGTCATGACTGATGAAAATTGAAAATACTGAACAGTGAACAAGTAGAACAGATTTAAAAAGACTATTATACCTGATAGCATCTGCTGAGCATGTACCAGTTCCTCCAAGAATCTGAGGTGATGCTTATTCTTGCTTGGCTCTGAAAGGGATAATGATATAGCTCCATGGCACATTGCCTGTTCTTTACCTGGATGTCACTGATAAATGCAGCAAGCCCCTCCCTGAGGACCCTGCCTACTACCTAAAGCTGATACATCTGTCATCTTTGTGCCCTGACACCTGATCTGATATATGGCAGATCCTCAGTAATGTCTGTTGAGTGACTATTATTTGCGTCTTTGATATTTCCAGATTTGTGCTACTACATTACAAAAGCTGGGGATACTTATCTTACTCACTACTTCAGTATCTAGAACAAGACCTGAATTATGACATTTTATTTGTTTAGACATAAAAGATTCCATGAAAAGAATTTTTCTTGTCTAAACTGAAGACTCACTGCTTTATTTTCTGTAAGGAAATGAGTGGTAGGTGGTGAGAGTAATCTCTGCTTCCAGATATCTAAACACAAATGAGACCCTCTCTGACAGCCACTTTTGCCATACAGGAATGCAGATTACTTTTTGATGACAAAAAATAGTGGGAAGTTTTAAAGGGCGAGAGTATCATTTTTGTCCTGAATAATTCTATGCCTAGACTCTTAAAAAACAAAAAAAAAACACACTATGACCTATTTAGGTTATTTTAGACACCTTTAAGTTCAGAAATCCTTGTTGTGTTAAAGATGCACATCATCTAAAGTATGCATGTGCACACCAGGTAGAACTTCAAGCTTGGTCCAGAAAGGTACCTGTGTGTTTGTCTCTGTTAGGGAAATGAGCTGTGAATATAAACCTCCATCCCTCAATGTAAAGACTAGAATGGAAAAAATAGTAATCATCAAGATTCTGTACTCTGAGATGAATGGGAACAAATTTTGGATTGGGCTATGGAAAATAATTACATAAAATAAACGTGCCAAAGTTTATCTAACAGTGAAAAGCACGCTGAAATGGTGAAATACCTTTCAATCTGAATGTAGAAGGAAAACCAGATGAGCAGAAGAGATAGTAAAGTATGCAAATTCATTGTAGATACCCTAACACAAGGAAGAAAGTGATTAATGTTTTCCTAATTTATGGGAACCAATATCCCCAAAGAAGTCATAGAATATGAATAACTAAAGATTCCAGCACATTCATCAGATATTTCAAGCCAAATTCTCTCTTTAAATTTGAATTTCAGGGGCTGGATCTATAGCTCAGCAGCACAGCACCTGCTGGCAAGCATGACATCCTGAGTTCAATCCCTGGGCTAAAAAAACCCCAAGAAACAGCAACAACAACAACAAACAGATATAAACTTGGATTTCCACATGGAACCTAAGAAAGCTGTATCTAGTTCATCCCTTCTTTCCCATTACATTATATAAAAGAAAGGCATCTGAGCTGATAAATACATATTCTCCTAAAACAACTTCTCCTTTTCATTACTGATTGCTTCCCCATACTGATAGGGAGTTCAGTACTGAAAACAAGTATCTAGTTTTCCGGAACAATTAAATACTTGGCAGAAATAGATGAAGATAAGACTCTCAAATCAAAGAGTGTGCATTAGTTAGTAATAAAACATAATTCTTCTGCTTAAAGCTCAGGCATGTTTTTTGAACTTACCCATTTATGAAAGATACACACTAAATTATATTACCGACTTTACTAAATCATTTTTATAAAGTAATCCAATTATATGGGAAAAAACCATTCAGAGTGCATGATAAAGGCAAACTAATTGCTTTGAAAATGCTAATTGTGCAATGCTTTGGTAGATAAAAATCCTCAGATAGCATAGGGACAGCAGGTGAGATCAGCAAAAAGTGGGTGTGGACTTGAATAAAAAATGGATTCCAGAATTTTCTCTAACGTATGAGAAATAAGATACTTAAAGGTTTTAATTCAATTTTATTTAATAAAAAGAGCTTTGAAAGATTTTTTTTCTTGAATTTGTAAATCATGTACTATTTATTAATATAAGTAATAATGACTTAATTGTTATTTTGGGTACCACGTCTAAATCAGTTATGAGGTTGCCTCCTATTCACTAACCTATGATCTTATTTTCCCTTTTCACCACCTGTATCTGTCTGTGTGCTAGCATGATGAGAACAACTTAGTATTTATTGATCAACTACCAACTGCTCATGAAAATTCTAGTTTATCCATTTCTAATCAAGGGATTTATTGAATATTAAAGTGTAATTTTAGTTCTCATAATCTAATGAGATGTTCGGTTGGTGAATTTACACAAAGAAAAATTTACATCCCACAGAAAGAAAAATTTATAGGCAAAAAAGATATTTAAAAACATATTAAGTATATATAAAATGGTTACTGTTCAAAATATTATGTATATATAAAATGGTTAACTTTCATAAAGCTAACACTTATAAAAGTAGCCAGAATAATTTTTCTGATAAAGCAAGTCCTTCTTTAAATGCAAGTTTCTCATGTTGAAATAGTGATAGAAAAATTTAATTATACTCAAAGTCACTTAGTAAATACAACTAAGTTATTTTTCTTTTATGAAATGATAAATTCACAATTGTCTGAATAAGTCCTATATAACACTGTCATGTAACTTTACTCTTGATATTTGAGGAATCACATTCATTCCCATGTTCATCTGTCACAGTAGCCAAGTTTACACCCCATTAAACAACCTCCAGTACCACGTTGCCTTTGTAACAACTAAGTATTCTTCATTCACCCTACATACAAGCTGCATTTTTTTTTTTATTTTCATGATCATAACACCTGGATCAGGCTATGAAAGCAGCTAGTAGCTGTATATAGCTGATGACTTGGCAGAGGAAAAAAGAGGATCATAAATCTATGGACTGTTAAGGTTAATGGAAGTAAAGTATAACAACCTCTCACCTTTCACTGGAAAATTGAGTGGCCAAGCCCAATCACAATGGAAGGATTTCCACACCTGCGGCTAAGCAGATGCAGCACTGCTGAGCAGCAATGTAACATCCCGCGGGAGAACAGCTCTCTTCTGAGCTTGGATGTCTCAGTGTTCTCTAACAAGTCCTTTTCTTGAGTCCAGTCCTGTGTCTTTGTGACCTGCTGTTCACGTACTTAGGTTGCTGATGCTTATATTTAATGGGTTAAAATAATAGCCCTCATTTTCACCATTACCTCCAACTTTCTTCCTCTGCTATCATTGCAAGGTTTTGATGCTACAGTTTGTAAATTTGAAAGTGGTTCTTTGTCTACCTCTTCCTTTTCTGTCCCCACACTTAGTACCCACTTTCCTCCAATTTCTGGAAAAATGTATTTTACACTTCAAATTCCTGTCCCTATCCTGGCCTTGTATGTCTGTATCCAGCCTTTCCAGTTGCCCAAATTTCCAACTGCTTTTCCTCTTGGGTATGGACAATACTCATCCTGTCATCCACATACACCATGCAGTGCATAAGTCACATTATCTGCCCATTTGCAAACCTTTGGTGTACTTTTATCCCACCCTCATGGCCATCTCTGGTGTCCATGCAGCCTGTCCTTCCACACTTCTTGTCCACTGCTCACCACAGTGTTCAACACAAGTACACCTTGATTTTTTATCGTATCGTTTTATATTTTATATTTATTTTCTGAATCTCTCTATAAGTAAATTTTTTTTCTTGTATTCCTCTTGCCTATGGTATTCCATAAGTAGGCATTCTTGTACAGCTAATTTATAATATTTTTGTTGAAAATACAATTTTTAAAGTTTTTTCTTTTTTTTTTTCTTTCACTACATGGGATACCCCTTGGTAGTACATATTTCATTGATCTTTTAAATTTATTCTTTACATAGCACGTTTTTTAATTTTAATTTTAATTATTTATTTGTTTGTTTGTTTATTGGTACCAGGAATTGACCTCATGAACTCATGATCTTGACATAGCACTTTTTATATTATCAAGAATAAGTTAAAAAGTAAACAGTTTTAAAACAGAGTAACCAGTTCTATGTTTGCTTTTGAACTATAGTAAAGCTTTATGAGTTTCGTATTCTTGTATGTAGGGTTCTGTGAAAGAACAATGGT